AATAATAATAAACTAAAAAGTAAATATAATAAAATAATCTCTAAACTCTTAATTATTAGTCTCTTTACTTACTTATTTATATTTCTAAGCTTATTCTCTTATTAAAGTACTCTTAGTTATTTTTACTTTTACCTTTTTTATTATAACTAATTTTATATTTTTAACCTTCTTCTTAATATACTATTTTATAATCTCTACTACTCTCTTTTTATTAGCTTCCTTTAACTTAAGCTAATTCTCTAAGTATACTTTATTTAACTCTTTAGCCTTTAAGTTTATTAGGTTTTAAAAAGTATAAATAGTAAATTTAACCTTATTTTATATATTAATAATAGTTAGACTATTTAAGATAAAAGGGATTATTATATAAGAAGGTATTATTAGGTAAGTCTCCTTAAAAGGTCTTTTATCTAATATATTAGTCTATATTAGTTATAAAATATTAATAGTCTAGAAAAAGAGGATTATCTTTTACTTAGTAACTTCTTTTATCTAATTCTTATACTTTAATTAAGTTAATACTAACTCTCTTTCTTTATTAAAGGAATAAGTATAATACTAGTACTTTCTTTATTATTATAAATATTAGTATATATTTATAATAAATATACTCTTAGAGAGGCTTTCCTTAAAGTCTTCTCCTAACTATTAGTCTAAAATATAGGTATCTTTAATAGGTTTACCTTTTATAATATCTTCTTACCTTATAACTTTTACCTTTTATATTTATTTTATTAAGGTAAATAGTAATTATAAGGATTATAATATTAAAAACTTTTATATATTAGCTAAAGTATAGCTTTACTAATTAATAACTTACTAGGAATTTATAAAAAATTAAGAGCCTATAGTCTTAACTAACTTTATATATTATAAAAATAAGTATTAAATAACTAGCTATTTTTATATTAATAATATAAGACTTAATAACCTCTTTTTATCTAGAATAAGAGGTTATATAGCTTTAAGTATTATTAAGGATAATATATTTATAGTTTTAAAAGAGTTTATTAGTTAAAATTTAAGCTTTATTTAAGTTATTAGTAAAAGGGTTTTAGGTACTTCTAGGCTATAAGATAAAAAGTAAGTTTTAAATTTAGTCTAGCTTTTTACTAATCTTAGAATATTATCTTTAATAAAGATATTAGTTAAAGTAAATATATCCTCTTTAGATAAGATATTTTAATTAGTATTAATTATATATAGTCTTATCTCCTTAGTTATAAAATTACTATTTAAGAGCTCTTTAATACTAGGAGGATATTTAAAGTTAAAGTTAAGTAGTAGAGAATAGGTAAGAGGATTATTTATAATCTTATATTACTTTTTACTTATATTATCTAAAAAGATATTAATCTAATATTTAAGGTATTATTATCTTTAATTAAAAAAATAAAAATAACTAAAGATAAAGTAAATATTTATAATTACTTTTTAGATTTTAGATATAATATATTTAAAG